CCCCCTCCCTGGACGTGCCACCATCTCCTCCAGCGCGTCCCTTGCGGGGGCTGGCTGTTCCCTGTCCGTGTCTCTGGGGACGGTGACCCAAAATCTCCCGGGCAGAGGGACAAGCGTCCCTCGTCCTTCTCTGTACCTCCCTGGAACCCGGGTTTTGGATGTTGGGGCTCAGCGCTGCTGTGGTCCGTCGTGTTTAGGAACGGGGCAGACCTCGGTTCTGTGTGTGCCCAGCCAGAGCCGGAGATGACGACGCTCACGCACCGAGGACGGCGTGCTGAGGTGGGAAGGAACTCGGACAAGAAGCCTGACAGCGAGGAAGATGTGGCTGCAGACAGAGACCTGAATGATGGCGATCCTGATGACTCCAAAGATATCCGCCTGACGCTCATGGAGGAGGTGCTGCTCCTGGGGCTGAAGGACAAGGAGGTAAGGCAAACGTCTCTGACGGCTGCACGTGCGGTGGTGGCGGCACGGCCTTGGTGTACCCGGAGGTGAGGCTCTTGGTAAGCAGCAGACAGGGTCGCACAAGTTCCTCTGAATCCTCTTCAGCAAAGCAAGCCTGCTTAGCACAAACCACCTTCGCCGGAGCTGTGGAGACTGCTTACAAGTGCTCTCCCACCAGCTCTGTGATGAGGACTGTAAGAAGCGGCTGGAGGTGAGGGCTGCCTTACGGTATTGTGTGACTGAAGTGGGGTTTGTTCTTTGCTGCGGTCAAAGACGGATAAAAGGAGCCTCACCTTGTGCATCAGATGGTAAACGTCCTCTTCCCTAGCCCAAGTGCACTTTCCTGTCTGAAGCCATCAGCTGAAACACAGGGACACTCTGAGCACTGTTTCCACTTTGTTAAAAATTGGTGTGAAAAGTGGCAGGGACAGATTTTGAGAGAAGAGGGCAAGGCGAGAGAAGGCAGCTGGACTGGGAACTGAAAGCAGGTGCAGGATGGGTCTGAATACAGCAATGGCAAAGGAGGTAGGAATCACATCTCTCTTTTCAGGTCAGTAATTTCCTCAGCCAGGCAGGAATGGCATCGTGCAGCTCCAGGCATAAGGGGTGTGGGACAGGATGGGGATCCCTTTGCCGGGTGCTCGTCTCACCCATGTGTGCCTGTTCAATGGCTTTCCTTGGCAGCAGTGAAGGAACTTCACAGCCGGTTATTTTCAGGTCAGACTAAATTGTTTTGTGCTTATCAGTTGATAGGAACTAATTTCTCAAATCAGCCCAGAACAAGCTGTGGGGAAAGGAGAAGACATCTTGTGTTGAGTTCTCTGAGCTGCTTGGCTCTCACCTGCTGCGTTGGTGTACGTTGTCTTCTTTAGTGCATGCATCATCTTCATCTCTTTGGGGGAATCTGATGCTGCTATTCCTGTCAAGCAGATGGGGAAATTGAGACCAGGGGAAGCTAACAAGTTGCCCAAGGTGCTTCTTGGGATGATAATGGCAGAGGAGAGCCTTGAACACAGGTTTTTCAGCTCCAGGAGTGCTCTTCCTGTGAGCCTGTCTCCCACCCTGAGGAAAGGAGACACTGGTTGTCAAGGCTGTGGTAGATGGGCCACCTTCTCTTCATCTGTTTCTCTGGGTTGAAATTAAGCCCCTGTGAGGTGCGTGAACTTTGTTTTCTGTGGGGCCCTGCTACTGATGAGTTAGTCTGAGCTGGTGCCTTGCTGTCACATAGACGCACTCGGGCCATGACTTCTGATGTGGACCACGCTGGCAGATCCGGCCGGGGAGAGCTGCGGGTTGTGGGAATGGCGAGGATTGTAGCTGTCCTGTTTAACAAACCCAGATAAGATCCAGGACTTGCTGAGCCAAAGAGGAAGTAAGAGGAGAGCAGGGCTGTAAAGACAACATTGTGCAAATATTTGAGAGCAGCCTAGGAGCGTGGTGGGGTGGTCTGCTTTCTTTCTGGGCTATGTTTAGCATTCTTGGCTTGGTCAGTGTATTCCTGGTAATGGTTCTTCAGCCACCAGGAAGTGAGGAGAGCACAATGGATACAAAAAAACCTTGTAAAACTTTTTTTTTTTTTTCCCCATCCTGTCCTTCCACATTCCTCCATCCCAAAAGAAAGACCAGAGACAGCAGTAGCCTGGCTGTGAGCTGGTGTCCCAGGCATTGGGTTTTCCCAGCTCGGTTGTTCACGCATGGTTTGGTGGTTGGAAAAGAAACAAGACAATTTTAGCCAAACCCAATGAGCTCACAGTGTAATTTCATTATTTTAAGTACCAGTCTGTCCACTTATGAAAAACTGGCTGCACACCAGGGTGGTATTTGTAACCAGTCTGATTCCAGAAGCTGAAAGTAACCCAGGAGCTTTCAACTGTTTGATTTCAGACCCCTTAAAATTTTCTAGGGCTAATGTGCCTTCCAGCCCAGTGACTGAAACTTGTGGTCACCTCCACACCCGTTTCTGTTCCTAAAGGGCATGTGCAAAAAACAGTGCATCTCCCATGGAGAGAAACCAGCAGGGCAGGGATGAAATGTTGCTTTGTCTTTCCTCACAAGGAAATGAAGAAAGCAAATAAAGATTGTAATTTCTTTTATGGCTCTTCTGTGTTACACAAGCTGAGCAACCCAGCGTCCAGATGCACTGTATAAACAGACACGCTGGGGAGAAGAGTTTAACCATACGGACTGTAAAAACGTCCATGGAGGACGTTAGGAGGGCTGCACGCTCTCAGCCTTTTTTCCTTAGGAAAGGGGTTTGTTAGGTTGCTTTGTCCGCAGTCTCCTGGTAGCTTTTAGACCTGCCCTTTCTCTCCTCCCCCCACTCCCTCCAGAGAAAGAGAGCAATGAGAAGGGAGTTACAAACGAGCCATAGCATTTCTGGTGTATCGACGTCCCCTGCAAATGAGCACGTTGTGACTTTGCAGCCCTGCTGCCTGCAGCACGAGCCTCTCTCTCTTGGCAGCCCTGCCTGCTGCCCACTCACCCTGAAACCCAAGGACTGCCGCTCTGCGTCAGTGCCACGATGCCGCAGTCACTGGGCTGGAACAACCGGGCTTTGTTCTAATCGGGGGATAAAAGACGAGTGGAGGAAGGGAACGGAGTGGTCGCCTGGGCTGTCCCACTGCTGCAAACCAGGGTCAGCTCTCTCCTGAGAGGCATCACTTGAATAGTCTTAAACCTTAAGGGACAGAGACTTCCCTTCCCTGCCTCCTCCAAGGATGAACCGTTCCTGGACTTTCTTGTCCAGATGGTTATTTCTTCCTGGTGCCAGCTCCAATCCCTCTGGCTACAGTTTTAGCCCATGCACAGTGGAAGTGGGAGCTGGCCATTCCTTTCCTTTTTGCTGCTGCCTTTTCTTCACGGGCCTGACAAGCGATTTCTTCATACAGCTAATGACTCTTGGGACATGCCTGGAGTGGGTGGGGGCTTTCTTCAAGGAGAAGAGCAGATTTTGCCCCCAGGCGTGTCCGCAGCAGGCGCTGAGGCTGGGCAGAGCAGAGCTCACGTCGCTGGTTGCAGCCCCATGGCAGCAGCAATGTCCTGTGGCCAAGGGCTTGCCAGGGGAAAGGGTCCAGCTTTTCTCATTCTCGCTCAGGTTTTTTACGACCTGGGGTTGGGCAGAGCTGCCTGCCCAGTGCTGGCGTGTGCCGGGTGGTTGTGGGTGCAGCAGGAAGGGCACAGCCTGAACTGCTCGATGTTTACAGGGAGGTTTTGGGCAGCAAGGGGGTTAGGTGGGGCTGCCGGGCATTTTTTTTCACCTGTGAAAGCCCTTTTCTTCCTTTAGCCTGGAAGGCAGAGCTGTTAATGGGAGTTGGGAGAGTCGCCTGGGCAGGGTCTGAGCAGGCCTGGAGTGGTGATGGGGCTTCGCAGAGCTCCCCTTCTCATCTCCCTTCTCCCCTTTCCATCCATCCTCTCTCTCCCAGGGCTACACCTCCTTCTGGAACGACTGCATCTCTTCAGGTCTGCGGGGCGGCATCCTCATCGAGCTGGCTCTGCGTGGCCGGATCCACCTGGAGCCACTCTCCATCAGGAGGAAGAGGCTGCTGGAGAGGAAGGTGAAGGTGCCGCAGGAGATGGGCAGGAGCTTCAGGGCTCCATCCACCTCAGCTGAGCCCACCGGTAGCGAGCTTTGCCGAAGCAGGTCTGCCACCAGCCTTACACCATGTTTCCACTTTGTCCTTACAGGTGCTCTTGAAGTCGGACGCACCGACTGGTGACGTCCTGCTGGATGAGACCCTCCGACACATCAAGGCCACAGAGTCTGCAGAAACGGTGCAGACCTGGATAGAGCTGCTCACTGGTAGGGCCAGTTAGAGACGCCATCTCCCCAGCTCCCTGACACGTGTCCCCTCTCCACGGCTTGCCCATCCCGTTGCTTCACTGGAGACAGGCAGAATACTGACAGAAGAACAGGGGAAGGCCAAATGTGGGGGCAAAGAATGGTTTTACGGGTCTCTTTTGTTGGGAGATCAGTGGAGACTTGGACCTTGCTCCCCATTGCCTCTTTTTTCATGCTGAGTCTTCACCGAGGCTAGGGTCCAAGGTCCTGGGTAGAAGAGGCTTTCTGAAGGGATCTGCCCCAGGCTGCTGCGCCCCATGGCTGCTGGGAGCTTTGTCAGCTTGGATGGATGGGAGAAGCGGGTCAGAATCAGGCCAAGGGGAGGTAGAGGGTTCCTGTGGCGGGCACTGGTGTCTGTGCAAGCGCAGATGGTCCTGGGCTGGAAGCAGCCGGGGCGCTGGGGTTGGCTGGCAAAGGTTTGGCTGCCCTGGTATTGAAGGGGCCTTGTACCCTGCAGGGGAGACCTGGAACCCCTTCAAGCTGCAGTACCAGCTGAGGAACGTGCGTGAGCGCATCGCCAAGGCGCTGGTGGAGAAGGGCATCCTCACCACGGAGAAGCAGAACTTCCTGCTCTTTGACATGACCACCCACCCCGTCAGCAATGCCACCGAGAAGCAGCGCTTGGTGAAGAAGCTCCAGGAGAGCATGCTGGAGCGGTGGGTGAATGACCCCCACCGCATGGACCGCAGGACTCTGGCTCTCCTGGTGCTTGCCCACTCCTCAGACGTGCTGGAGAACATTTTTGCCAGTCTGGCAGACGACAAGTATGATGTGGCAATGAACAGGACCAAGGACCTCCTCGATATGGACCCTGAGGTGGAAGCTGCCAAAGCCAGGGGCACAGAGATGATCTGGGCTGTCCTGGCAGCCTTCAATAAGTCCTAAAAAGCTCCCAAACCCCCTAAACCAAGTGAGGGACCCTCACCCCCTTGAGGTCGGGGATATTTGGTCATGGAATTCCTGCAGCAGTGGCTGGGCTCATGTCGGGGGGACTGGGGTGCTTTGCCCTTTCCTCCAGGCAGGAGTGGGAGGGTGAGAGCCCACTTGTGTGGGCAGGTCGCACACTCTTCCAAAGGCCCGTGCCTCTGGGGAGAGGTGACAGTGGCTCTTCGCTCCCTTTCCAGTGCTCCTTGCCCGTGGGATTCCTTCTTGAGGCAGTGCAGAGCTGGGAGGTGGCAGAGCCCAGCCCCGCCTCTGCACGTGGGAACCGAGCTGCTCTAGATGGGCCAAACCACATCAGAAATGGGGCCGAGGAGCAGCCTGTGCTCCCGCTGTGGCAGCTTGTCTGGCTGCCTGCATGGCTCCTTCCATGCACAGGTCTTGACTTGGAGCTGCCTGGGCAGTGCAGAGTCCCCTAGGGAGTGGGCTGACGTCCTCCTGAAGCAGGGTACGGGCAGGGCAGCAGGCAGAAGGCCGGTTCAGGGGTGTCCAGCATATGGGACCAGCCCACGTCCTGGCTGGCACAGGGCAGCCTGAAGCTCTCGGCATGCGTTGCAGCTGAGGAGCAGCTCTGCAAAGACTGCGGAGCCCTGCCCCAGGCTGTGCCCCCTCCTCAGGCTATGTCTCCATCACCCACCCTCTCCTTCCAGTAAAAGTTAAAATTATTTTTTTTTTAATCCCTTCCCCCACCCCCCTTCTCCACCACTTTAATCTCCTGTAGTTCATTTAAATGTATTTCTCTGCAGCCCAAGGGAGTCCTGGGTATTTAAATTCGCCTGTTGCTGCGGTGGGTCCAGGGTTTGTGTGTGAAGGGGTGCCGGCAGTGCTCTGGTGTGGCGCAGGGAGGCCC